CTCATCTACACGAGTTTCCGATTGAGTCGAGTGAACTTAACTTTAAAAAAATTAAAATTAAAATTAAAGTTTTGTTTTATATTTTTCTCTATTTTCTTTAATAAAATATAATACTAATTAACTATTTAGTTTAAAAACTTTAATATTAATTAACTATTTAGTTAAAAAAATTTATTAAAGGCTAATTTTCATTTTATGATTCAATTTTTATTCTAATTTTAAGAAAAAAAAATGGAAATATTAGTAATTATATAGATGGAACTAAAGTATATGTCAAATATATAATATCTATATAATATTTAAAATTTATAATTTCATAAAGACAATAACCTTCATTAAAAGAAGAAACATGAATTATTAGAGTTTAAAAGACAAATTTAATATATATGTTAATATCTAGTGTCTATTTAATATTTATAAGGACATTATACAAAAAATACAATATTATTTAATATTTAGAAGGATATTGTACAAAAAAATATAATCATATTCAATATTAAAATTCAAAAAACATCTAAACAAATATAAGAAGAAATTGGATTGAGATTAATTTTTATTAATTAGGAACAAATTATTAATTAAAAACAAATTAACAATTAAAAACAAGTCTCGATATTCTTGATGTTCTTGTCATTGTGCTTTTAATGGTTATGAGAGCCCCTCAACCACTAATTTTTTATTTTTAATAGGTATTCTTATTTTTTATTTTTTATTTTTTAAAAAAAGATCTTTTTGGCAATGCCATAGAAATTATGATGTTGTTGTAGTCATTGTGCTTCTCATTCTTAGTCCCCTTCTTGACGAATTCCAGCTCGAGTGTAAGCAATGCAAGGTTAAAGTTATCTGGAGGAATAAATCTATATACCAAAGAAAACTCAGAAATTATTAATAAAGTGGAAACACAAAAAAGAATTAAAAAAAAAAAGGTGTGAGGTTATTGACCTGCTCACAGATATGGTGTCACTAGTAGAAACTTTTGCATGCCGTCGTTGGGTGGCATTCAGGGCACGCTACGTATACTTTCATGAGGAGTAAATCTAAGTTAAGGCCTCAAAACAACTAGTAATATGGAGTAATTTTTTAAAAGTTTGATCTTTATAAAAGCAATAAGTTTATCAAAATAATGATTAGGGCTAAAAAAATAGTCGAAGTTTAGCACCAAATAAAAAAGAGGAACTAAAAAATAACACAACATAATTATCTACTTTCCTATTATTGCTCATGAACTATACTTTAGAGATTAGTTTCTACTTCATAACTCAAGCAGTTCCTCTCATAAATAAGATAGTTTATGGTCGCAACAGTCAAATATCTAAAATGCATGTAGTAAAATCAAAGCAGATGAAGTAAAGCAATATCAAATTATGAAATCATCAACATATGAAGAAAATGCCATGAAACTAAGGAAAGTAGCTAGTGATGGAGGAATTCACTTCCTTCATATGAAATCGAAGAGAAAGAACAAAGAAAAAGGATATGAAACAG